TCACTCGCCACATCAGTATGATAACCGGTTAATACTTCAACCAGTTACCCGGGTACTTAAATGGTTAAAACTTTACATCTTAGGTACCAAAACGGAAGTTTTAAAAGTACGTTACCCAAAATAGGAATCAAGTTAAAGTACGTTACTTTTTCATGCAATTTGCGCTTAATAATAATATTTAAAATAATATATTCATTTAAAATAATCTTATCATAAATGGTTGAATAATATATCATCATTTAAATATATCATTTATATCATTATTTAAATATATCTATTTTCCATAACTCCATTTTAATGTATTTGTCACTTTCTCCAACTTCAATAATATCATCAAATTAAATACAATCCATATGTTTTCATGCATTATCAATTTTATTCTCTATTTTAAATTAATTACTGTTTCAATCATCGCAGTTGTCATTTTGTTTCACTATTGGTCTCTTCAACTAACACTGGTTAAAAAAGTTTGTTAATTTTTGGGGGCTGTTTGTCAGTTGCTGAATGATTTGGTGCAAAATGATTAAGAGGCTCTCATGATATAGTGCAAAAAGAAATATAATTGTTTGGTAATTGTTTACAATGAAAATTTAGGGCACTAAATGGTTAAGGAAAACCCAGAATACAAAATCATTCAAATGGTTTTAGAACCATTAAGAGACAAACTTTTTTTTTTGCCAAACAAGATTCATCTCTTAACGATTCTGAGACTGTCTCTTAATAAAATTATTAAGAGGTAAGCAAACAACCCCTGTATTTTGACCAATTTACTCTTTCTTATCTTTTTCCTTTTTGTTTTATTAGATTATATAGAGTAAATTATCAATTTGGTCCTCAGGTAACTCTTTTGTTATTGATTTGGTCCACCTACGCAATTTGTTTTGAATTTGGTCCCTCTTTATGACACCCGTCAATTCGCTTCGTTGAAGATGAGGGCAAGATGGTCATTTTACTTTTCTTTACTTATCTTTACATTTTTTTGCCAAACTTTTTTAGAACCAAGGTCAAAATGTATAATAGTAAAACTTAGAGGTCCAAATATAACCATGACGCCCTATATCTCTTTCTCGCC